CTGTGGCCATATGGAAGTGGTGCCACACTCGTATGATGTAGCTTCAACATGTTATCTTCCTCACCATGGTGTCTATAAAGCATCGAGTTCTACAACGAAGCTTCGCGTAGTCTTCAATGCTTCTAATAAATGTTTGAGCGGAATATCTCTTAATGATTGTATGCATATAGGTCCCAGATTACAAAATGATCTATCAAATATCATCTTGCAATGGCGGCATTACCCTATAGTGTTTACAGGAGATATCGAGAAAATGTACAGGCAAATTCTTGTTGATAGCAAAGATGTGGATTTGCAACGAATAATGTGGCGCGTTCGACACGGGGACGCCCCTACAACGTTCCGGTTGCTCACTGTAACATATGGGACTAATTGTGCTCCATATCTTGCCATCAAAGTATTGCGTACTCTGGCAAAAGAGGAGCAAACTCGTTTTCCACGGGCAGCTGAATCGATTCTAAATGAATTTTACATTGATGACGTACTATCAGGTGGAGACACTCCAATCGAAGCTGCAGAAAAATTGCACGAACTTCAGGAGCTTCTAGCAACTGCAGGCTTCACTTTACGTAAATTTAATTCGAATTCAAATGACGTTTTAAGCACTCTGACTGCGGACGTAAAAGCTCACGCCGACGATGTGGAAATTAACACCGAGTATAAAACTAAGACACTTGGTCTTACTTGGTATACAAAATCCGACAGTTTTGGTTACAACGTCAATGTAACTTGTGACAACCATCATTACACAAAACGACTAATGTTGTCTGACATATCGAAGTTATTTGATCCACTTGGGTTCTTGGCTCCGGTTATCATTCGAGGAAAGATGTTTCTGCAACAACTCTGGCGTACTGGATCCGATTGGGATGATCCCTTGTCAATAGAGATGGCAAACATTTGGCATAACTTTCGTATTGACTTACAACAATTACATCACATTCGAATCCCACGTTGGATAAACACCACTTCGACAAGTGCAATTGAATTACACGCATTTGATGATTCATCAAATCAAGCATATGCGGCTGCAGTATATGCGAAAACAACCATCGGTACGACCAGTTTTGTAAATTTGCTTATTAGTAAAACTAAGGTAGCCCCGTTGAAAGAAACGTCTATACAACGTTTAGAATTATGTGCAGCATTGCTAGCAGCAAAACTTCTACACAAGGTAAAAGGAACATTTAAGTGTCAACCATCACGCTGTATTTTGTGGACTGATAATACAACCACACTGTGGTGGATTAGAACTGATCCAGGCAAATTGAAGCAGTTCGTGGCAAACAGAGTGTCACAAATTCAGTCAATGACAAATATTGAAGACTGGAGGTATATTGCAACAAAGGATAATCCGGCTGATTGTGCATCACGAGGCAGTACCGTTTTGCAACTAAAAGATAATCTGATGTGGTGGTATGGACCATCTTGGCTTCGCTTAAATGAGAAAATGTGGCCTAACCACCAAATCAATCATACTCCTGACAGTTTACCTGAGAAAAAAGAGATTAACTCATTAACTACGCAGTTATCAACAGAAGTGTGGGAAATATTTGGACGATATGCTACTCTTGATAAATTACTCGTAGTCGTGGCGCAATGCCTACGTTTTATTCATATGTGTCAAAAAAGGATGCGTAGGGATGAAAGTTTCTGCACTTGGCAAGAACGTTATACGGTTCTTAAAAAATTAGTAACAATTGTACAAAGGACCGAGTTTACCAACGATTATGCCGCTTTACGGAAAGGCAATCCAATTAACAAATCAAGTAAATTGTTTAAATTGAATCCGAAGCTTGATTCCGACGGAATTATGCGTCTAAATGGACGACTGCAAAATGCGAATATTCCTTCAGATGAACGATGTCCAATGATATTACCCAAATGTCATGATTTTACTACGTTGATTATTAATCACGCTCATATTCGAACATTACATGGCGGAACTCAAACAACATTAGCATATGTGCGACGGCAATTTTGGGTTATTGAAGGAAGATCCGCTGTGAAGAGAGTGATTAACAAATGCATTACATGTTTTCGTCAAGCCTGTCGACCGCAAGCACAACTTATGGGTAACTTACCTCCAGCACGGTGTAATATATCACAGCCATTCATGCACACGGGCGTGGATTATGCTGGTCCATTTAATGTGAGAGCGACAAGAGGGAGAGGCCAACGTACTTACAAGGGGTATGTGGCTCTATTTATATGTTTTATTACACGAGCTATTCATTTGGAACTTGTGAGTGATATGACATCTGAAACATTTCTAGCAGCGTTAAAGCGATTTGTATCAGTCCGTGGCATATGCTCAGATATGTACAGCGATCGTGGTACATCCTTTGTCGGTGCTGATGCTTTAATGAAAGATGAAATTAAATTATTTAAAAAACAAATTGAAGCTGGGTCTGTGTTTGCATCAACCGTTGGCATAAATTGGCACTTTATACCACCCGCAGCGCCTCATTTTGGTGGCCTATGGGAGGCAGGAGTAAAAAGCATGAAATTTCATCTTAAGCGTGTAGTAAACACGGCAACTTTAACTTTTGAAGAATTTTACACGTTATTAAAACAAGTCGAAAATTGTTTAAATTCGCGGCCGCTTACGGCTCTATCTGATGACCCCACAGACTTATCAGCGTTGACACCAGGACACTTTTTGATTGGACGAGCGCCATCTGCCGTACCTGAACCTAATTTGCTAAATACAAAGATTGGTGTACTATTCCGATGGAAGATGTTAAGCCAGATGTATCAAGATTTTTGGCGCCGTTGGTCCCACAAATATTTAACACAATTACATGCCAGAAACAAATGGACTAAAAGCCAAACAAATGTCGCAACCGGTCAACTGGTCCTACTTCGAGATGAACGATTGCCTCCAAGCTCCTGGTTGCTTGGCCGCATTATCCAAGTCCATCCTGGCACGGACGGTGCTGTTCGTGTCGTAACCATAAAAACACAGTCCGCCATTGTGAAACGGCCAATTACGAAGATCTCTGTTTTACCAATCGACATTGAAGGACGTCCTGAAGCACACGAGTAATATAGACGCAAGATCCGGTTGTATCTCCACGTCTAGGTGGGAGAAATGTTTAAAATTATCTATATCAATCTGGCAACCACTGTGTGTGGGCTGCTTTTAATGGTTAGCAAGTTTTTTTCATTCTTCTTGTTGTACGAGCATCCGTCGTGTTCGGTTGTGTTTCGTGTTGTGCAGTAAATTTGTTTGAGTTTTGTTCTAATTACATTTAAAAATATGTTTTATATGATAAGTAATATTAGAGATAAATAAATGAAATATTCTTTGAAACTTTAAAGAAAGAAAAAACCGCATTTAAACGAACAGACTCTGAGCTTCAATTTTGGCAGGGCACGAGTTCAACCCTTGATACTTGATACTTACTTGTTCTCTCAAAATATTATTTACGAATAATTAAATTAATTTCAAAAGATCACTGATAATGGATATTTAGCAATACTCGACACAGCTGTATAGTCTGCCAAAATTCAATTAATTAAAATAATACGAAAAAGGAGAATTTGTTTTGTTTTAGCTCACTACTTTTTGAAACCTCTCTCTGTATAAAAAATTAAATTTCTAAATTATATCTTAACAAATCCTATCTTAACAAAAAGTAATATTCATACATATTTATTTAGTTAAAAGTGAAAAATTTTTTAGAAAATAAAAAA